ATTCACTCATCTGGTCCTTAACCTCCTCTACTGTACTGGTTAGCCCTTTCAATGTGTTCTTTATTTCTGTTATGTCATTCTTCATTTCCTTTGGTTGGTTTTCAATGTTTCTATATCTTTACTCATGGTGTTGATTTCCTTACTCATGCTGTTGAGCTTCCTCAAAATCATGGCTCTGAACTCTACCTCTGATAATTTGCCTAACTGCATTTCATTTATCTCATCTTCTATAGATTTCTCTTGCTGTTTCATTTGGGATTTATTTCTTTGTTTCACTATTTTGGCTATCTCAGTGGATTTTGGAGCCTGCCAAATTTTCGCTGTGGGTGTTGGTGTTCTGCTGTTTGTGGCTCCCTCTTCTGGGTTTGGATGAGCCTGGGTAGGCCCATGTTAAAGACCATTGTCATGTCCTACTGTCCTGGATAGATTTACAAGCCCAGAAAAGGTTCAGTTATCCTCTAGCTTTTTTCCTGGAGGCTAGTAGTCTCAGTTACTCAGGGCCTTGGAGTGTAGCCCTGGTGCTCTGCATAAAAGGGTTTCAAGAGGGTGAGACAGTTACTGGCTGTAATGAGCTTCAGTTTGCATTTTTTTGCCTCACCTGGAAGGGGCTGAATCTCTGAGAGTGGGGCTGCTGCTTTTCCCCACAGCTCTGGGAAGGAGCAAGCTGGCCACCATGTTTTTGTGGCTGCAACTCAGCAAATACTCTGAGTGCCCTCCAAATCCTGGGTGTTTCCACAGAGTTCCAGTCCAGTCTGCCCTACATCTGCAGGAGCCCCAGGTGAGTGGCTGTAGCCATTTCAGTGCTGTCTTCCGGCCCTCTGCACTGTGGACCAAACTTAGTATTTTATTCCTGCGGGCACTGCTCACAGCTAAAACCACCCTCTCACGCCCCTGCAGATCCTTCTGGTGTCCCTGGTTATATGGTCCTCTCCTGCTGCTTTTCTGTTGCTTTTTTCCCATGATTTGTCTTTATTTTAGTTGTAATTCCCATTTGGTCCTGGGAGATTGTCTGTTTACCTTCCATTCACTCCACTGCCATTTTAGCATCCTCTTCTTCTGATTCTTCATGCACTGTCTTAGCATCTGTACATCTTCAGATTAAGACCCATCTGTCACCATTGCAACCAGAAGGCACTTGCTTGACTATACACTGCATACTGGGGATTGCTTTTGCTGGATCATCTATTTTATCTCCTGCTGCTCTTCCAGTTTTTCAGCTTTAAATTATTGAATGTTACCATCACATAGTTTTTGGCTCATGTCTAGGAAAAACTTTAGCACAATTTGTATCCAGCAATGCATTTTCTTCCAGTGTACCTTGAGACTACAGCACAAGGGTGGCAACATGGGAAGAATTTTTGCTGCATTGTTACTGATTAAACTCATAACCTGGATTGACAGTTACTTGCTTTCAGCAGTTGAAAAATTGAAAATGTCCTACCTCCTTCTAACCTCTACCGTTTCTAATGAGAAGTCCACTGTCATTTTAACTGTTTATCTATTACTAGTATGGTGTCTTCTCTTTCTCCTTTCAAGATTCTTCACCTTTCATTCTCAAGAGTTTGATTATTATCTGTCTTAGACTGTATTCCTTTGTGTTTATTCTGCTTGGCATTTTCTTCACTTCTTGAATTTTCAGATTTATGCCTTTTTGCCAAATTTGAGGGCACTCTGAGTATTATGTTATGGTAGTGTGGATTTTTATTTAAATCTTATGTTTTAGCAGGCTTTCTCTGACACCACTCTGGTGAGAGAAGGTAGGTCACCACTGCCTGGTTATTTATTGTTTGGTGGAGTTGGAAGTTCAAGTTACTCAGCCTCTATTGATAGCTCTGGAGAGGGGAATTTCTCATTACTGCTGGGCAGGAGTAGAATTTCAGGCTCCCCACTAGACCACCACCACTAACAACATTTTGTCTGGAGGGGAGAGACATTCTATTATTTCCACATGGCTGCCACTGACATTGTGTATGGGGAGGCTTAATAGTACAAGGTGTGAATGACAGTCTCAGCTCTCCACCCCTGCAAGGACAGAGGGACACCTCATTAGGTACGGGCAGAAATCTAAGTTCCCACCCAGCCTTTGCTGATGGGGATGAGGAGGGACTAGCTTTTTCTATAATATTTGACTGGAGTAGAGTGGTTGTTTTCTTTCAAGTTTTCTGTTACAGTAGACTGCTTTTTTTCTTGGTCCCTTGTCTGGAGAGAGCAGGCTTTCCTCGGGGCTTTTTTAAGATCTGCACCAATGGACATTTTGGGTTGTCAGCTTCTCTAGAACCCAGGCTAGGGTATATGAGGGAAAAGAAAACCTAGGCAATCCGCCACTGTGTCTTTTCTCAGGTTACAAGGTCACTGCCTGGACTGCCTTCTGTCCAACTTTCAGAGTCTTCTTATATTTGCTTTATATATAATATTGAGGGGTTTTAGTTGTACATGGCAAGTATCGGTGCGTGTTTACTCCATCTTATCCCCCTACCAATTCACCTTCATAAAAATATTTTGACAATCATAAATTTCTGGGCTTCTTTCTTTCATTACTTTAGGAGTATTGTTCCATTGTCTTCTAGCTTACTTTTTTTAATTTTTTTTTTGTTTTTGTTTTTTTTTATCCTCACCCGAGGACATTTTCCCATTTTTTTGTTCAGGTAGAGTGGGAGGGAGAGAGAGGAACAGAGAGAGAGAGAGAGAAACATCGATGTGAAAGGAACACATTGAGTGGCTGCCACCCACACGACCGACCAGGGCCGGGGACAAACTGCAACCGAGGTACGCGCCCTTAGCGGGAACCGAACCCGGGTCTCTCAGGACCGCAGGTCGACGCTCTAACCACTGAGCAAAACCAGCCAGGGCTAGCTTACCTTTTTTTTTTCCTATGAGAAGAAATTATCTTTGTTTCCCAGTACATACAGGATGGGCAAAAGTAGGTTTACAGTTGTATGTGAAATAGTTTATTCTTGTATTATTGTTAATGATTACATTATTTATTTGTATTGCAACTATAAACCTACTTTTGCCCATCCCTGTGCATTATCTTTGTTCCTCTGTTATAAAGATTTTCCTTTATTACTAGTTTGTAGCAGTTTGATTATAACATGCCTTGGTATGGTTTTCTTCATGTCTTTTCTCTGAATTTCATTGAGCTTCTTGAATCTGTGCATTTATACTTTTCATCAAATTTTGAAAATATTTAGCCATTATTTCTTCAAGTATTTTTCTACTCCCTCACTCTCTCTCCTCTCCTTCTAGAATTCTAAGTTACTCATGTGCCCTGACTGGAATTGAAGTGGCAACCTTTCAGTACACAGGACAACACCCAACCAACTGAGCCACACCAGCCAGGCTTTTATTATTATTAGGAGTGAAGGAGAAAGGGAGAGAGGGAAAGAAACACATCTAACTGGTTGCCTCCTGCATGACCCCAACCAGGGCCAGGAACAAACCACAATGGAGGTACATGCTCTTGGCCAGAATTGAACCCAGGTCTCATTGGTCCACGGGCCAACACTCTAACCGCTGAGCCAAACCGGCCAGGCTTTATGATTATTTTTAAAGGCACATTTTCCTTTGCCTCATGGCTTGAATGCCCAAAGATCATATTCTCCACAAACAATCCTCAAGGGTTTTAGGGCAGCTTCTCTCAACAATGAAACTATTTCCTCTCTAATCCATTCCTACTCTGTGCCCTTGGATTTTGTGCTGCTTTGTGTGTGAGACCCATTCAGAGTCAGCTCCCTTCAGATGGGGATTTGCAGGGAAAAATAAAGCTCAGTGAAACGGAATGCTGTAAAATGGCTCTTGAGATCTCAAAAAGTCAATGGATAACTCTGGGGAAAGTAATGCATAGCCCAGTGACCTTTGAACTATCAGAGGGGGAGGGGATGCAGGTGGGACATCAAACTCCTGGAGGTTACAAATATGATATCCAAAATGAAAAACAGACTGGATTATATTAAGAGCAGATTAGACACTGCAAAAGAAACCTCCCCTGGAGTGGTACTGGCAACCAACCTGTGTGTCTCTTCCACATAATATTTTTCTCTCTCTCTCCCCCTCCCTTCTAAAAGGTCTGAGCCTGCGGGTGATCACATCCACAACACAAGGCTAGTGTAGAGCAAAATGGCTTTATTGCACGTGCCTGGGTGTAGTGGGTTGAGCTGAAAAGGGTTCAGCATCGAATCAGGGTTGAGGTGTCAGTTATATACTCTACTTTTAGTTTCTGGCAGTTCCTGCTGATGTACTTTATCTGGCCCATTGTCCATTTTGCAGTTGGACTGGTCTGGTATCTAGTCCAGTATCTGCTGGGTTATCCACTGCTGTGCAGAAAATCCAGATAATACTTATTCGTACCCAACAAAAGGCTGAGCAAAAGTCATGCAAGCAACACAATTTTCAGTTTCCGCCTTTTGCCAACTTTTACCTTTACCCTTTAAAACATTACTAACCCTTTCACCTTCCTTCCACTCTAAAAAAATAAAGTAAAATAAATGGAAGAGTAACCTTAGGTGGGGGGGGGCATTATATATTAATAATACTATTAATTGTATATTAAAATTATTTGGATGAGTCCAGAAACTTGTTCAAAGACCCATAAACTACAATGAAGGCATTACCGATTTCCGACAAGAACTTGAATGAAAGACAGGCAAAGGCTGGACAGGCACCTGCGGACTCAGGTGTTAACAAAGTCACAGGAGACCCACCTGTCCTCTCAATGACTTTATTTCTTTAGTCACAGGGAAATGTTCTGAGGCAAGACTTGTGTTGTTCTTTGTGACGCTAGTGCTTAGTGCTACCGCTTGACATACGGTTGTGCCCTCTCAGTACAAATTTATTAAATTTGATCGAATTTTCAGATCACCCATATTAACAATAAATACAGCCAATTCTCTCATAAACGCAGACAAAGAAGAAAAATCTGCTGCGCTGAGGACTCTGGGCATTGCCGGTGGGCGCCCGGCCGCGCAGGCGCACTGCGGGCTGGCGGCCTCCCGGCGCAGCGGCGCCATTGCTGGAAGCGTTCCCGCCCTGCTCCGCGAGCGCGCTCACTTATCCTCAGTTCTGCAACCAGGTACTCGTTGCCCCGGGCGCCAGGCCCTGGACTCCTGCCGCACCTCCCTCGGCGCTGCTCTCCCCGCCGCGTCCGGGCGTAGCTGTTCCCTCAAGAACCCCTGTCCCTGAGCACACCCACCCCGTGCGCGAGCGCTATTGAAGCCGGCCGCCTGTCTGCCTGGTTCGGGGCTCCGTGCCCCCTCGGACTCCTTCCGAAGGCGGTCGGTGCCCTCGGCCGCGGCCTCTGCGCCGGGCGCGGGGCCTGGGCTGGGGGCTCCACCGGACCTTCCCGTCTTCACAGTCCCCCTAATGGCCCTAATGGGTAGTAGGCAGGGCAGGGTCGGGGAAGAGGGCGAGGCTGGAGGAGGGACGATCTCAGGCTGCCTTCTGAACCGCATGATGGAGCTGGGCTTCCAGTCTGGGGACCTGACAGGTGGACGTTCTTCTCTCCTGGGGAACCCAGGCAACTTTTCCTTGACCGCCTTTTACGGTATTCCAAACAATCACCTTTAAGGAGCTCGTCTCTCCCTGACGTGACAATAGTATTGCTTTGATTGAGAAATGCTTGTCTGGTTCACGGCTCTAAAGTTCTCATTCTTTTTAAAGAACTCACAGGCTTAGGATCCACTGCAAGTGAAGTTTCTGCTGAAGTCTTTGATACTTCTGCAGTGCTTGGGAAGCCAGAGCGTGGATCAAGTCACCACATCTGGAAAAAATACCCAGGGAATTATGACTCTGGGGAAATATTGGCCTCTTCTGCATAATGTCAAATCCGCGAGTAGAAACACATAGTGTGGTTAGCCTCGTTTGCTAATGTCCAATTCACTGTGCTGAAGTGACTTGCTTATAACCACATTTCCGCAGTAGCCAAACCAACGTTAGAAGCTGGGGCTGTGGATAGCCACTCTGGAATTTTACTCCTATACCAAATGCCCGTGTATATATAAATACTTCTTACTGTGTACTTGGAAAGTATGAAAAAGTAGAAAGAAGGGTACACATCACAGGCCCAGGCCTCAGAGGTATCAGTCGTTTTGGCTTACTCACTTGCAGTCTTTTTCTCTGTGCATTGTTTTGCACAATTGAGATCAAATTGAATATATTAAATTTTAAAGAGCATTGTTTATTCTGAATGTAAAATTTAAAGATGTCTGTTGTACAGTGTGGTTATTAAACATACTGGACTAGCATTACCTGCATGGCATATTGCCAAGGAGAAGTTATTAATCTTAACAAATTTAAAAAGAAATGATGACTCAGAACATTCTTAATAAGTTTTTTTTTCTGAAATTTATTGAATTTATTGGTATGACATTAGTTCATAAAAATATACAGGTTTCAGATGTACAATTCTATAATACATCATATGTATATTGTATTGTGTGTTCACCACCCAAAGTCAAGTCTCCTGCCATCACCATTTATCTCCCCTATACCCTCTTCTATCTCCTCCCATCCCTCTTTCCCCCTGGTAATCACCATTTAGAATGTTTCTTATTTCCTCTAGGGAACTGATAGCATTTTAACAGGGCTCTATCTTTTTTTGTTTCACAAAACACTTCTGAAGAATACACCTATTTTTGGCATGTGTGATGGTTACTCTCTTCATGTTTGGTAGAAGTAGTAGAAAGTACATCAATTTGGCAGATAAACTTTGGCGTAGATTTTTATTTAACCACTTTGGTCAAGTTTCTAACTTATTTATTCATTTCCTTATCATAAGTGAGGATAATAATAGTTATTTCCAAAGATTGTTGTGAGACTAAATAAGATGAACTATTTAATTATCTGTTAATACTTTAATTTTTTTTCCGTTCCCACTCCATTTCCCATTTCTTTTTCCTGATTTTTTTTTTTATTCTCACCCGAGGACATTTTTCCATTTTTTGTTCAGATAAAGCGGGAGGGAGAGAGAGAGAGAGAGAGAAACATCGATGTGAAAGGGACACATCGAGTGGCTGCCACCCGCACAACCAACCAGGGCCTGGGACAAACTGCAGCCGAGGTACACACCCTTAGCGGGAACCGAACCCGGGTTTCTCTGGACCGCAGGCCGACGCTCTAACCACTGAGCCAAACCGGCCAGGGCTCCTGATGTTTTTTATAGATTTTCAAACTAGGTCAGAGTACCAAATGACCAGTTCAAGTCGAAATGCCCGGAGTTCCAAATCTCCTCCATAGTTTTATTTTTTTCAGCTGAGGAAATATTTTTAAGTGGGTAAGTTCTATTCCAGCAGGTTTCAGAATTGTCAGGATTTTTTTTTTTCTTGATTTTTGCACTTACTCAATTAAAATTTGGAATAATTTCTCCTAGTTTTATATAAGCATTGTGAGGTACAAAAATGACAGGGAAACTCATGTAACAAAGTAGTCAAGGTTAATAACAACAAGGGGTATAACATGCTTTTGTTTACTAGGAATTTTAATTATTCTTCTGGAATTTTTGAGTCCAATAGCATCACTGGAATCAATTCTCTCCATTAGTTTCATGTATCTTTTTGGCTAAATACTGATTCCCCAGGCTTATTGCTTCTCATCATGGTAATACTTTGTAAAATGTCTGTCCTCTTCTTCAGTTCACACAGGAGTCTTGATACTTTTCCTTTCAGTTAAAAAAATTTTTAGTGATGGTTAGTGTATCAGTGTTGTAAAGCATGAAGTGAATTCCTGTGGAATTCATTCAAAGAGATTTTCATGTTTTACTTCTATGTATTCATGAACATTTATGACAGTTCTGAAGTGGACATAAAAATATGAACAAGACAGCCTCGACCTATCCAAAATGTACAAGTTGAATAGGAAAAAGAGATTTGTAAGCAATCACAGCCTTAATTTAGTTGTTGCTATGTAAATCCTTAAAATATGGCAGATACATTAATTCACTCCACAGAAACTATTTCCTATCCCTTTCTTCTCTGGCCCACCTCCACTATGGAGGCTGGAAAAGCCTGAGACTCACTTCTCAAAAGCAGAATCTTTTGAGTTTGATGTAGTCCCATGAGTTCATTTTCTCCTTTGTTTCTGTTGCCTTAGGTGATGTATCAGTGAAAATTCTGCTGTGTATGATGTCCGAAATTTTGTTGCCTATATTTTCTTCTAGGATTTTTATGGATTCATGAGTCACATTTAAGTCTTTTATCCATTTTGAGTTTATTCTTGTGTATGGTGTAAGTTGATAGTCTAGTTTCATTTTTTTTGCTTGTAGCTGTCCAATTTCCCCAGCACCATTATTAAAGAGGCTGTCTTGACTCCACTGTATGCTCTTGCCCCGTTTGTCAAATATTAATTGAGCATATTGTCTTGGGTCCATTTCTGGGTTCTCTGTTCTGTTTCATTGATCTATCTGCCTGTTCTTGTGCCAGTATCAGGCCGTTTAGATTACAGTGGCTTTGTAGTATAACCTGAAATCTGGTAATGTGATCCCTCCAACTTTGTTCTTTTTCAAGATTGCTGTGGCTATTTGGGGTCTTTTTTGGTTCCATATGAACTTTTGAAGTATTTGTTCTAGTTCTGTGAAGTATGTTGTTGGTATTTTGATGGGGATTGCATTGAATCTATAGATTGCTTTGGGTAGTATTGACATTTTAATGATGTTAATTCTTCCAATCCATGAACAGGGTATGTGCTTCCATTTTTTTATATCTTCCTCTATTTCTTTTTTCAATGACCTGTACTTTTCTGCAAATAAGTCCTTTATTTTTTTGGTTAAGTTTATTCCCAGGTATCTTAAATTTTTTCCGCGATGGTATATGGGATTGTTTTCTTAGTTTCTCTTTCTGTGAGTTTATCATTGGTGTGTAAGAATGCCATTGACTTCTTGACGTTAATTTTGTATCCTGCTACTTTGCCAAATTCATTTATTAAATCTAGTAAATTTTTTATGGAGTCTTTGGGGTTTTCTACATATAGTATCATGTCATCTGCGAATAATGACAGTTTTACTTCCTCCTTTCCAATTTGGATCCCTTTTATTTTTTCTTCCTGTCTGATTGCTGTGGCTAAGACTTCTAGTACTATGTTAAATAAGAGTGGCAAAAGTGGACATCCTTGTCTTGTTCCTGTTCTTAAGGAGAATGCTTCAAATTTTGCCCATTGAGTATGATGTTGGCTGTAGGTCTTTAATATATGGCCTTTAATATGTTGAGATATGATCCCTCCATTCCCAGATTGCTGAGCGTTTTTATCAGAAATGGGTGCTGGACTTTGTCGAATGCTTTTTCAGCGTCTATTGATATGATCATATGATTTTCATCTTTCATTTTGTTTATGTAGTGAATCACATTTATTGATTTGCGAATATTGTACCAGCCTTGCATCCCTGGGATGAATCCCACTTGTTCATGGTGAATAATTTTTTTGATGTATTGCTGGATTCAATTTGCTGGTGTTTTGGCTTTTTTTGTTTTTGTTTTTGTGTTTTAACTGTCAAATATCCTTTCAGTAATATATTTAAGATTCTTAAAATCATTAATAATAAAAAAAGGAAATAGACAGGCTAAGTGAAAACACAAGTCACAGCTATATATCAATGTTCAATACATTTATGAAAAATGCCCTAACTCATGAATAACGAATAAAAGTAAAACCATAATTAAATATCACTATACATAAACTAGAAGATCTAAAATTGATGTGTTAATATCAAGGGTGACAATTATATGACTTTCAAATGAAGCAATTGAAAGTCTCATTTGCTGCTAGGGGTGTTATAAATTATTACAACAGTTTCAGAAAACAGTTAGTAATTTCACTCCAAAGTAAATGTATCCAACAGAAGTGTGTATTCATGTACACCTAGAAAAATATTCAAGAATGGGCATGACAGTACAATTCTTAAGAACCGCAACAGTTCATCAAAAATAGCATGGATAAATTAATTGTGATGTATTTGTGTAATCGAAAGATATATGACACTACAGTTATTTATTTTTTATTTTATTTTTTTAATTAATTAATTTATTTTTGCTACAGATGTTTCTCCTTTTTCCCCCCGCTGATTCCCTCCTTCTCCTTTCTCCCCACCGTGTCCCCAGCTTTGTTGTCCATGTCCATTTTTCATACATACATGATTTGCTAGTATTTGTTCAGGATTTTGGCATGTATGTTCATCAGGGATATTGGTCTGTAGTTTTCTATCTTTGTAGTGTCTTTTTCTGGTTTTGGAATTAGAATTATGCTGGCCTCATAGAATGAGTTTGGAAGTCTTCCTTCTTGAATTTTTTGAAATACTTTGAGGAGAATGGGTACTAGTTCTTCTTTGAATGTTTGGTAAAATTCCCCCATGAAGCCGTGAAGCCGTCCAGCCCTGGGCTTTTGTTTGCTGGGAGAGTCGTGATTACATCTTCAATTTCTTTTGTTGTTATTGGTCTGTTCAAGATTTGTATCTCTTTCTGGTTCAGTTTTGGGAGACTGTGTTTCTAGGAACTTGTCCATTTTGCTTAGATTGTTGAATTTGTTGCAGTATAATTGTTCATAATATCTGTTAACAAACCTTTGTATTTCTGTGGTGTCAGTTATTATTTCTCCTCTGATTTCATTTCTGATTTTGTGTATTTGGGTTCTCTCTCTTTGTTTTTTAGTGAGTCTAGCTAAGGATCCATCAATCTTATCTTTTCAAAGAACCAGCTCATTGTTTCATTGATCATTTGAATTGTTTTTTTTGTTGTTGTTGTTTTTTTTTTTTTGGTCTGCATGTTATTTATTTCTGCTCTGATCTTTACTATTTCCTTCCTTCTACTTGCTCTGGGGTTTTCTTTTTGTTTGCTTTCCAGTTCTTTAAGTTGTGAGGTTAGATAGTCTATTAGAAATTTTTCTTGTTTCTTGAGGTAGGCCTGTAGTACTATGAACTTCCCTTTCACAACTGCTTTCTCTGCATCCCATAAGTTTTGTGTTGTTGTGTGTTCATTTTCATTGGTTTCCAGGAAGTTTTTAATTTCTTCCTTGATCCCCATGGTAACCCATTCATTGTTTAATAACATACTATTTAGCCTCCATGTTTTCAAATGTCTTTGCATGTTCTTGTTGCAATTGATTTCTACTTTCATGCCATTGTGATCTGAGAAGGTGCTTGATGTGATTTCATTCTTCTTGAACTTGTAGAGACTTAGTTTGTGCCCTAACATGTGGTCTATCTTTGAGAATGTCCCATGTGCACTTGAGAAGAATGTGAATTCTGCAGTTTTGGGGTGAATTCTCATAGATATCAATTAAATCCATTTGATCTAGTGCTTCATTTAGAGTCTCTGTTTCCTTGTTAATTTTTTGTCTAGAAGATCTATCCAGTGCTGTCAGCGGGGTGTTGAAGTCCCCTGCTATGATTGTATTGCTGTTGATTTCTCCTTTGAAGTCCTCCAGAAGATTTTTAATATATTTTGGTGCTCCTACATTGGGTGCATATATGTTTACCAAAGTTATATCTTCCTGTTGGATAGATGCTTTCAATATTATGTAGTGGCCTTCTTTGTCTCTAGTTATGGCCTTCATTTTGAAATCTACTTTATCAGATATGAGTATTGCTGCCCCAGCTTTTTTTTCCCCTTTTTTTCCTCTTCGGGGCCCCCTATGATGCAAATGTTATTACGTTTCCAGTTGTCCCACAGTTCTCTTCAGCTGTCTTTCTGTATTTTAATTGCTTTACCTTTTGGTTTTCTGATTGGTTGATTTTTTTCTCCCCTATCTCCTAATTCACTGATCTGGTCCTCAGCTTCCTCTACTCTGCTGGTTGGTCCTTCCAATGTGTTCTTTATTTCTGCTATGTCATTCTTCATTTCCACTTGGTTGGTTTTCAGTGTTTGTATATCTTTTTTTTTTTTTAATCTTCATCCAAGGACATTTTTCCATATTTTGTTCAGATAGAGTGGGAGGGAGGGGGAGAGAGAGAGAGAAACATCGACATGAAAGGGACACATCGAGTGGCTGCCACCCACACGACCCAACCAGGGCCGGGGACAAACTGCAACTGAGGTACGCACCCTTAGCAGGAACCAAACCCAGGTCTCTCTGGACTGCAGGCCAACGCTCCAACCGCTGAGCCAAACCGGACAGGGCATGTTTCTATATCTTTACTCATGGTGCTGATGTCCTTACTCTTGCTATTGAGCTTCCTCATGATCATGGCTCTGAACTCTACCTCTGATAATTTGCTTAGCTGCATTTCATTGATCTCTTCTTCGATAGAGTTCTCTTGTTCTTTCACTTGGGATTTGTTTCTTTGTTTTACTATTTTGGCTATCTCAGTGGGTTTTGGAACCTGCCAAATTTTCTCTGTAAGTGTTGGTGTTCTGTTGTTTGTGGCTTCCTCTCCTGGGTTTGCATGAGCCTGGGAGGGCCCACGTTAAACACCACTGTCAAGTCTTACTTTCCTGGGTATATGTGCAATCTCAGGAAAGGTTCAGTTATCCTCTAGCTTTTTCCTGGTGGTTAGTAGTCTCAGTTACTCAGTGTCTTGGAATGTAGCACTGGTGTTCAGCATAAGAGGATTTCCAGAGGGTGGGATAGATGCTGGTTGTTAATGAGCCTCAATTTGCATTTCCTTGCATCACCTGGGAAAGGCTGAATCTCTGAGTGGGGGAGTTGCTGCTTTTTCCCACAGCTCTGGGAAGGTGTATACTGGCCACCATCCTTTGTGGCTGAAACTCAGCAAAAACTCTGAGTGCCCTCCAAATCCTGGTTGTCCCCACAGAGATCTGGCCCAGTCTGCCCTCCCTCTGCCAAAGCCCCCAGGTGAGTGGTTGTAGCTATTTTAGTGCTCTGTCCCGGCTCTCTGTGCTGTGGGGCTGGCTTGGTCTTTATTCCCCAAGGGCACTGCTCACAGGTAAGACTGCTGCTGTCCATGGGCTCCCAGCCCACCACCCTCTCGTGCCTCTGCTGATCCTACTAGTGTCCCTGGTTATATGGTCCTGTCCTGCTGCTTTTCTGTTGCTTTTTTCTGAAGATTTGTCTTTATTTTAGTTGTAATTCCCATTTGGTCCTGGGAGAGTGTCTGTTTAGCTTCCATTCACTCCGCCTCCATTTTCACATCCTCTATGCCTATCTTGTGCGCAGCTGGGTCACACAGGCCTCTCTGGTGCCCCTGTACCCCGCTAGTCCTGCGGGTAACTGGATGGCACAGTCCCTGCTGGGTCGCACAGGCCTGTCTGGTGCTTCAGCACCCTGCAGTTCCTGTGGGCAGGCAGCAGAATTGCACCAGTCCCTCTGGGGCTCAGCCTTCCCACTGCTCTTGTGAGCCGCTGGACTGCACAGGCTTCCGTGGTGCACCAGGTCCTGCCACCGGTCGTTGGGGAGTGCTGCTGCCTCATGGGGCTCAACTCCTGCTCAGCTTTTGCTGTAGTTTTTGGGGATGGGTCTCAGCTGCTGGTCTGTACTTCTGTTGCCTGGGGATGGATGTCTGCTCTCCAGCCTCTGTTGCTGGGGGTATATCTGGACTCTGATTGGGCTGCTACTAGGGGGGATGGTGCTGGGCTCCCGGCTGTCCGAGGCTTCCACTACCGGCACCTTGGGAGTTTCACTACTGTGCACTGGTCTGTGTTGACACAGAGTGTCCACTGGTCCAATGGTGCCAGGTACGCTGGTGGGCTTAGGTTGCTGGGCCCTAGCCACTCCCCCTGCTTCCTCCCAGGGAAGACCCAGGATATTCCAAAATGGTGGGTCCTCCCCACCGCACAGGGAGAAGTGCCCTGAAGAGCAGCTTACAGAGGTAGCCACCTTCTCCAGTCCACAGCACAGGAACCTTCTGCTCTGCATTTCTGCACTGCTTGGGTTTGGTCATCTACCTTCACGTCCACTCACACTCTCTCACACACTAGCTCACTCTCTCACACACTCACCCTCCCTCTGGTCCTTCCCACTGCCATCTTCTGCCCCAGACTTTTTCATTCTTAATAAGTTTTAAAGATGCAGAAAACCATTACTGTAGTTCCTTGGAATTGAAAATATTCAGTCTTTGAAAATAAGTTGCTCTTTATAGGTCTGCTATTGTGATTTGGAAAAAATAGTTTTCACTTATTATTTCTTTACCCATTATGTTTTTCTTTTCAACCTTGTAAAACTGGACTTCTTAACTTGAGGGTCAGGGTATGGGTTTGAAAGGGTTGGGCTTCAAACTCCCTGAAATGATGTGCAACATCATATATTCATGTGCACTGTTCTGTGGACAAGGTCAGACTCTCAGATGGATCCCCCCAGAATTAAGATCTGGTGTTGATATGTAGTCATTGTTCATATTTGTGAGAACAGCTATAATTATTGTTTTAAATTGTGTTTAAACTTGGCACAGGTATTGCTTCAGACTGTGAGATGAAGAGTGATTCAAGAAATACCAGGTGTGAAGCAGAAATTCAGCTGAGGGAACTAATGCAGGACCACAGCTTTGCTTGGATTCTAGAATCCTCTTGGTAAAACATTCATTGGATTTTCAAGTTTGTAAAGAAGGGTCTTTAATTTGGGGTTTAGAAGTTATCTTTAGAACTGTATTTATCAAAATACTGGTTGAAAATTTAGATTTCTGTTCTTCACACCTGTAATAGAGATCCTGATGTAGATCTTGGATGGAGCCAGATAATTTTCTTGTTAATAAGTGTACCTTGTGAACTTTTTCAATCCTCAGATTTGAGATCCTTCTAGTTATGCATGGGAGTTTTCAGGGAGAAGAGTTCTAATTTTTATGAGATCTGCAAAGGAATCCACGACCTGAAAAAAGGTAGCAAAACATTGGTGTAAAAGAAACCTCTTTTTTGGTAATCTTGAGGCTTCAATATAGGAATCCTCTCAGATTATGCTTCCTTTATTCAGTCGTACCTCCACATTACACTGTGTCTTTCCTCCCTTACTTCTTATCGTTTCTCTGCCACCAAAATCTTTTCATTATCTCTAGTGAAACCTCCTAATGTCATGGAATAAACTCTACATTCTTAAGATATTCACTTTTTTTTTTTTTAATTTAACTAAATCCTGCTCGCTCTCTCTCTCTCTCTCTCTCCTGCTTATGTTTAAATTTTTCTTTCATGATGATTCACTGTATTAGTTAGGAATTTAATTTTGCAACTTTAACAGAATCCAAGTGGTTTGAACAAGAAAGACTATTTCTTTCTCATATAAAAGTCAGAGTTGGTAGGTGGCTGGCAGTGATGAGGGCCGATAGGGGTAGGCTGCTCTGGTCCATAAATTCAGCAAGAAACCCAGGTTTAATCCATCTTTTAGCTCCACCACACAGTAGGGGTGTTCTCCCTATAGTAAAAGCTGGGTTTCTCTCACCCTGTGTATTTCAAGTGATTAGAAAGGAAGTTGAACTGGACCTGGAAGTTGCATGCCATCTTTTATTCCGATCCCATTTGCTGAAATGTAGTGACATGGCACACCTACTTGTAAGGAGGTTGGGAAGTGTCTCTGGCTGGGTGACCTTGCGGCCAGCTGAGACTTCAAGCCTCTGCTGAGGAGAAAGGGAGACTAGGTGTTGGAAGGCAATGTGCAGTCTCTGCTACATTGGCCTACTTAAGTTTTCTGCTGTTTGTGTCAGTTTTAGAACATTTTTAAACGAAAATTGTTCTTTGGAAAATTGTTGTTGTTGGCATACTGTTTTAAGACACTTTATCTGTTATAGCCCCTTTATTATTTCTTTTTGGTTTATTGGTATTTTTTTCTTTTTGACTGGTCTGTGGCTTGTATATTTCATTATTTAGAGAATCAGCTCCTGCTTTTGACAGCTGTTTTTGTTTCATTGTTTTTCATATTCATTAGTTTCTTCCTTTATCATTTCTTCTTTATGGCTTTTAATTATTTTGCTTCTTCAATTGAATGTTTGATATTTTCATTATTTTTTTTTAATTTTACTTAAAGTATTTAGGGATATAAATTTATTCTCTTTAAAGCTTTGGCAGAAACCCATGCATTATAAATCTACAATACTCTTATTTTCTAATTCACAGTTCTCTCTTTGACTTACTAGCTACTTAGGAGGGTTTATTTTAATTTCCAGGTGATAGAGTTTTTTCCCCTCCCTTCACACTTCTATTTACATTTGTAATTATACCACATCATGGTTAGAGAATATAGTGTATTCAATTTCTTCTTTTTAGTGATATTTTTTTTGATCAGTGGTATATGATTGATTTTAGCAAATGCTCCATGAATGCTTGAAAATAACTTTTGAGTGTAAGTTTCAATATACCCAAATCTACTTAAATTCTGTTATTTCTGATGTTCTTAAATTTATAATAGCCTTGCTTTATTTATTATAATTCTTGTTTTTCAGAATATAGTATCATTTCAGATGAGATTCTGATTGACACCAACTGTAAGATTAGATTAAAATCTCCTATGTTTGTTGAGCAGAAGCTCAATACTGAATCTTAGGGAAGCCAGGTGCTCATTCCCAGCAAGAGCATATTTGGCACGTTAAGCATAACAGAGTCTCTAATTGAGGGGCCACACAACTGCTGCTAACAAGCCGAGTTCCTCTTTAACTCCACATGGCTGCTTACTGATTCTATCTTTAAAAAGAAACTCCATAATCATCAGTCCTTGTGATCAGGATGTCTGCTTTTCCTTTGGTTTTACAAACAATAGTTTGTGAGACAGTGTTGCTATGGCCTATTTCAGAGGTTTACCCAGTTCAAACATTCCAAAGGTTCAAGGAGCAAGAGGTGCAGGATAGTTGCTCTGTCTCCATTTTAAAAGGGCTCCAAATGTTAACTTTTCACATCACAACAAGCTGATTTAGTGAAAAAGGTGTGGGTATTGACTGATCTGGAGTCATGGGTAGCCGTGAATAAGTAGATTAATTTTTCTGATCTTCTGTTTTCTCATCTCTCTCTCTCTCTCTCTCTCTCTCTCTCTCTCTCTCTCTCTCTCTCTCATATATATATATATATATATACACACACATACATATACATATATACATATTTCCCATTGGGTTGATGTGAAAATCAAATGAGAAAGTATTTTAAAAGCTCCTTGTACAGTGTCTGGCCTGCTAGCTGTGACTACATTTAATAATATTAAAAATCTCAAGATCTCCAGGAGCAAGAGTCTTTTAATTTCACTAATCTTGCGGGTTACTCTTGTGTTGTTTAGGGAAGTCATGCTTATATGTCAGGATTCCAATTTAGTGAGTCTGAGATTACCTAGCAGGACTGGTTTTCATGGCTTATTTCTCTTTCTCAGACATGTCTTTGTGGGAGTACTCCTTCTAGGGAGAGGAACAAAGAAGAGGAGATAATGGCTGCTGTGGTTTCTTCAGTTGGACCTCTGGTAAGTTTGGGTTTCCTTTGTTTCTTAGTTTGAGGACATGCCTTTTCCTAAAGTCTTTTGACTTCTCTACCTTACTCATACCCCTTCTGGTAACTGAATCAAATAATTTGATTTGTGAGTAAAGGCTGTAACTTATAGGAAGATTCACTATACATTTTAAACCAAATTTCAAGATCTTTTAAAAACAGGGCTATCTTTAGATATGATAGGCAGTCTGGGAAATTTACTTATGATGTCAAATGTGTACTGTTTCTAGGAAATTTCAGTTATTTATGGAATAGTAAAATGGGATATTTTTCAATTGGAAAGTTTCATTTAGGAAATTTGGGGAAAAAAATAAATGTACACACACACTCACACTCTTCATTCACAGGAACCATTCCCCTTGTGCCCACTCTCAGTGACTTCCTCTTTTTTACCCATTAAGAAGTGATCAAGCTTAATAGATGACATGGAGAGAAGATATTTAAGACACAGTGCTTGGCTGTAGGGAGCTTACAGTCTCACTGAGGTAAGGCATACAAAAGAAATAGTTGCATCATTTATTTAGGTCGATAATAGTTGCTTAGTAATATGATAAAGATGATGAGTGCTATGTAAGAAAAGAAGTGGGACATTAGTATGGGCTAAATTGGTCATGGGAAGCTCATGAGGATAGATTTAAGCTGGTATTCAATTACAAATGGGATTTAAATTGTCAAAGTAATTGTGAAGGTACCTTAGGTGAGAAAGGAGTTTAGGGCAAAGTTCTGAGGCAGAGAACAGTAGGTGAGCTAGTGATTCAAGATGGAAAAATGAAAGATAGGACTGGAAATTAGATATTAAGCTGAATCCTTTAATGTTTCTCTGAACGTGTGTGTGTGTGTGTGTGTGTGTGTGTGTGTGTTTTAGGTGGGTATCGATGAAGTGAAAGCTATGTGTTTTAACAGTGACTTTTTGAAATATGTAGATTCAGAAGAAAGGTACTGCCAACAAACATAATTTGTTATAGTAATAATCCATAGTAACCTGTAGTAGTGATCTTTTATTCTTTGTAGCCAGGATATATAACGTGTAACTAGTCCTTAACACATACCCTGAGAAAGATTAATGAAAACCAAAATGTTACACTTGATTAGTAGATACACAGTATCTGTCCAATATTGGCCTGATCAAGCCCATCCCTAATATCACAGGTTGAAGTTCATATCATTATAGGAACTTGGGAGGGGAAAACTAAGGTAACATTTTTCTCAATGAAATTTAAGGAGATACTTTTACCTATATTTTTTAAATGACACAAAATCTAAAATTGATAAGTGCTACTAGAAAGTATAGTAAAGTTTCATTTCATTTATAAAATCAGGCCCTTGTAGGGAGATGGTTTCTAAGGTTTGGAAGAAAATGATGTTATGAGAAGTCTCTAAAAATATTTCCTGAGTACTGAGATATGCTGCCCTCCCAAGCACTGCAATGATTCAAGTGTAGAAAACAGGTAGTGTTAATATTCAGACGGTGTTTTGAATATTATTCTTAAGCAAGAAAGATACTTTCTGAGAAATAGATTTCATCCCCGATGAAAAATGAGAATTGTGTAGCATCTGAAGGCCCCTTATTATAAGTTCATTTTTGTTTTGATAGGTTATTTTTTAAAAGCCACCTTTAAACACTACGCAGTTATATCTTTCTCAATCTTGCATGTGTGTGTTATTTGTCTAAACAAGGTGAAAGGAGATTATGATTGGATGTTACTATGGGACCTTAATATCAGCCCTAAATAGAACAGTAAAAGAGGTCATCCTGTATATACCTCATCCACAGAGGACTGTTGGTGCTTTTTGAGGCTCTGCTATAGGTCATAGGCAACCCATCATTGAGTGATCTTATCCTATATCCCTCAGGGTCCTGATGTTTCCCAGCCAGATGAAGATTATCTTCAGGCAGAAGAACCAGAATTGGTAAAGGTAATACTTACCATTGCATGTAAGGGAAATAAAGAGAATGTTCCTCTTTTACTGCCCCTAATTCTTAATGCAAGTTCACAATGAATACCATCTTGAGTGATAGCTGTGGTAACCTTAGGGCTGGTAGCATCAGTTTGACAAATTTCATTTCTCTCAGTGGTGGCAGCCCAAATTTGGCAGATAGTCATATCATAATTGCTAATGATAAACTATCCTATATCACTTAGTCTGATTCTTGCTTCATATTGCAAGACCCAATACTATTAAAAATATCAAGAATACATCAACATCAGTTCCTATTTTTTAAGAATATTCCCATTCCGTGGGGTAGTCCCGGAGACGTGGAAGTGGGGTACAGACTGACAATCCCTAGAAGAGGGGGTGGTGGGGGAGAGAGAAACCACAGAACTTATATGCATGTATGCATGAACAGTGGACATGGACAACAAAGCTGGGGACAGGGCGGGGAGGGAGGGGGAGGGGGAATCAGTGGTGGGGCAAAGGAGAAACATCTGTAACAAAAATAAATTAATTATATAAAAGAAAAAGAATATTCCCATTTTTTTAAATGTCTTTTTATTGATTTTTTAGATAGAGAGGAAGGGATAGGGAGAGATAGAAACATCAATGTGAAAGAAAACCATTGACCGTCCTCCTCCCACATGCCCCCTCTACTGGGGATTGAGCCCACAACCAGGGCCTGTGCCTGACCAAGAATCGAACAGGAACCTCTTAGTCCATGGGTCAACACTAAATCACTGAGCCACACTAGCTGGGCAAGAATATTCCCATTCTTTGGATGAGTTTAATTTATTTAGATATTTTTATTTCATTATATATGTTAAGGTTACTTTATGAATACAGAATCCACATGCTTTTTCCAGAAAAATATCAAAATCAGAAATGAATCAATTGGGTTAAGAAAAATTACCCAAAACTTAGTAACAAGGCAAAAGATATGCCCTTTCAGTGTCATATTAGACACTAACCAGCCTGACTAAGGGTCATCTGACATGGCAGGGAAGGTTTTGTTGTTTCACTCAGGATTTATTATTGATTAATATTCAGACCCTTAAAGTTAGATGTTCACTTGTAGAAGATTGAAAAGTTGCAAATTATTTCTACCTAGGAGAAAAGATAATCTCAAAAGTTACAGTTTTATTGTCCTTTGGACACTTACCAGGTTTCTATCTAATTTTGGAATCTTACTGCAACATTCTTTTCGCACTGTCTATACATCTGTTTCTCTCATGTTTTCAACCAGCTTATCATGCTTGCTTACCTCTCATTACTGCCTTAGTACATCATTGACATACATGTGTTGATTATACTTTTAGAAGAATTATGGTGTTTTTTAAATTTTATGTAGAAGTTCATCCCCTTTCTATTTTTTCTAGAATTGTATCTTTGTTTTTGAAAATTACACTTTGAAAGTTGGTTTTATTTCAGTCATGTTTTATGTAAAAATGGGTTTTTCTTTTTGTTTTTATGAAAAAATAAATTCTGAGATTCAGCCTTCTACATTACATTTTTGAAACGATTACTGGACCAATAATTCTTAAATATTCTTTGATATATAACAGTTTAAACTTTAATATAAAATATGTGTAATTTCAGACTTTGAATTATGAACCTTAGGAAAATATCATAATTTTTGACATGGTGAATAAATCATATGGTTTATTTCTGTTCTTCTGATAGAGGAAGTTCCTAGCAGAAGATTAATTTTCTCTGGCTTTCCCTTAAATTCTGCATCCTATTAATAAGTACTGAACTTAGCTTTAATTTTGAGTAAACCAGTATTTTAATAATTTTTGAAATTGCTATTTCTGCAAAAAAAAAAAAAGGCAGGTGGAATTTTCACAGGACTTGTGTTGAATCTGTTGATCATTTTGGGGACTACAGTCGTCCCTCGCCACTTCGCACTTGGATATTCGGGGCTTCACGATAGAGAACTTCTGGTCAAGATGGCAGCGTAGGTAAACGCGGTATCGCATCCTCCCACAACCACATCAAAGTTACAACTAGACTACAGAACAACCATAATTCAAAATCACCTGAAATCAAGCTGAATGGAAGTCCTACAACTATGAAATTAAAGAAGCAGCCACATCGATACTGGTAGGAGGGGTGGAGGCAGACGGGCTGGTCTCACACCCACGTGTGGCAGATAAAAATCAGGAGGACACCTCAGCTGGGAAGGTCCTCCCTGAGGATTGAGGGGTCCCTGTCCCACACCAGGCACCCAGCTCAGTGTTCCAGTGCCAGGTAGAGAAATCCCCATAACTTCTGGCTGGAAAAGGCAGCAGGAACTGAGGCTCAGAGAGGCTGAGGCTTCTGGAGCCCCAGGCAGCTCCTGTTAAAGGGCCCGTGCACAGACTCACACCCTCCAGGCACCAGAGACATATGGGGAAGAACTGAGTTGTTTGGCATTGGAGCGAGGGCTGGAGAGGCTGCTGTCCGAAGCCATTGTTCCTTTGGTGAGCCCTTCCCTGGGATGGCAGACTGCAGCCATATCTGGGACTCCAGCAATCTGGCTCACACTGTTTGCCCCACCCTGGTGATTTCCTGAGGCCCCGCCCCACCCAACTTTCAGGCCCACCCAAGCTGTTGCCATTTGCTTCACCATAGGATTGGACTTTCTTGGATCCTGCTTTGGGTTTTCCTAAATTCTTTCAAACCAGCAGCATCTGTCCGCAGCTAGCCCCATACCTCTCATTAAGTAATACATAGAAACAAACACAGGGAGGCAGCCAAAATGAGGAGACAAAGAAATAGGTCCCAAATGAAAGAACAGAACAAAACTCCAGGAAAAGAACTAAGGGAAATGGAGATAAGTAACCTAACAGATGCTGACTTCAAAACACTGCTTATAAGGATGATCAGTGAACTTAATGAGAACCTCAGTGAACTTGGGCCTTAAGAGCATAAAAAAGGACCAGTCAGAAATGAAGGAGGCACTAACTGAAATAAAGGATAATTTACACAGATTCAATAGTGGAGTAGGTAAAGCCAAGAAGCAAACAATCAATTTGGAATGTAAGAAAGCAAAAAACACCCAATCAGGACAGCAAAAAGAAAAAAGAATCCAAAAAAAATGAGGACAAAGGAGCCTCTGGGACAACTTCAAGTGTGCCAACATTCGCATCTTGGGGGTGCCAGAAGGAGAAGAGAGAGAACAAGAAATCGAAAACCTATTTGAAACAATAATGGCAGAAAACTTCCCTAACTTGGTGAAGGAAACAGACATACAAATCCAGGAAGCACAGAGAGTCCCAAACAAGATGAACCCCAAGAGGCCCACACCAAGACATATCATCATCAAAATGCAAAAGGTGCAAGACAAAGAGAGAATCTTAAAAGCAGCAAGAGAAAAGCAGTTCATTACCTGCAAGGGAGTTCCCATAAGACTGTCAGCTGATTGCTCAAAAGAAACTTTGCAGGCCAGAAGGGAGTGGCAAGAAATATTCAGAGTGATGAAAAGCAAGAACCTACAACCAAGATTACTCTGTCCTGCAAAGCTGTCATTTAGAATCGATGGCCATATAAAGAGTTTCCCAGACAAGGAAAAGCTAAAGGAGTTCATCACCACCAAACCAGTATTATATGAAATGTTGACGTGTCTTCTTGAAGAAAAAGATAAGAAATATGAACAAACAAAATGGCAATAAATACATGTCTATCAACAACTGGATGTACAAACAAAATGAACAAGCAGAACAGAAACATTATCATAGAGACAGAGAACATTTTGTTGGTTGCCAGATGGGAAGGGGGTTAAGGGGATGGGTGAAAAAGGTGGAAGGATTGAGAAGTACACATTTGTTGTTAGACTGACAAACCTCAAAGGGAAGAGGCAGTTGGGGGTTAGGAATAAATAAACCAAAGAACTTACATGTATATATGCATAACCAATAGACACAGACAACAGTGTGGGGAAAGGCAGGAGGGGAGCAGGAGTGGGAAGGAGGGGGTCAATGGGGGGAAAATGAGGAACATCTGTAATACATTCAACAATAAAGATACGTTAAAAAAAAAACACAATAGAGTGAAGCTGTGAAAGTCGAAGCACGAAGTGGCAAGTGATGACTGTATATAAATAAAAAATCCTACTTTGTGGAAATTCATTTATCGTGGTAGAGTCTGGAAATGATTAACCGCGATAAACGAGGGCCAACTGTATTGCTATCCCAACAATATTGATATCCAAGAAAGAAGATGGAATGTCTTATTTTTTTAGGTATTAAAGTTATGTTTTGTAGTTTTCAGTGTACAAGTCTTGCACACCTTTTATTAATTTATTCCTGAGATTTTTTTGTCAGGAGGCTTGCTACTCTAAATATTTTTCTTAATTTCTTTATGGAATGTTTATTGGTAATACGTAGAAATAATTGCCTTTATATTGATCTTGTATCCTGAACTTTGGTGAACTAGTTTTAGTTCTAATAGGGTTTTTGCATGTGTATGTGTGGGGATTCTTCAAGGTTTTCTATAATCAAGATAATGTCATCTGTAAATAGAAATTATGCCATTTGCAAATAGAAATTTGCTTCTTCCTTTCCAATCTGGATACCTTTTATTTCTTTTTCTTGTCTTATTTCCTTTGCTAAAACATACAATTCAATGTAGAACAGAAGTGAGGAAAGAAAATACCTTTGTTTTTGTGGTCTCAGGTGGAATGTGTATTATATGGCTGTTCACCATAAAGTATGATGTTAGATTTGGGTTTTTATAGATGATCTTAATCATGTTGACAAAGTTTGCTTCTATTTCTAGTTGGTTGGATTTTGTCAAATACTTTTTCTGAGTCTGTTAAGATGATGGTGTGGCTTTTGTTCTTTATTAATTTGGTGTATTTATGACCTTGATTGTTTTCAGATAGTAGTTCAACTTTGTATTTTTAGACAAGTCCAGTTTGGCTGTGGTGTATAGTACTGTTTTATTTGTTGCTGGATTTAGTTGTCTAGTATTTTGTTGAGAATTCTGTGTATATATTCATAAGAGATATTGGTCTGTAGTATTCTTGCCATGTCTTTGGCTGGGTAATATTGGCATCATAGAATGAGTTGGGAATTGTTTCCTTTTATTATTTGGAAAAATTAATGGAGTATTTCTATTAACTCTTTGGAAAATGATTGGTGGATCGCACCAGTGAAGCCATTTGAAAACCTGGGCTTTTATTTGTGGGAAGTTTACTTACATATCCATATTTTCTTTACCTTGAGTCAGTTTTGGTAGTTTGTGTCTTACTAGGAATCTGTCCATTTCATCCAGGTTATCTGATTTGCTGGCATACAGTTGTTTATAGTAGTCCTTTATAATCCTTTTATTTCTGTAAGGTTAGTAGTAATGTCTCCTTTTTCATATCTGACTTCCTTTATTTGAGTCTTCTTTTATTTCTTAGTCAGTCTAAGTGTTTGTCATTTTGTAATCTTTCAAAGAACCAAATCTTGCTATTGTTCATTATTCTATATTGTTTTTCTATTCTCTATTTTGTTTATCTACATTCTAATATTATTTTCTTGGTTGAAGTGGGATTTCAGGAACTCCTTTTGTATTCTGGCTCAGATGGCAAAAACAATGCAGGCAGGCAGTTCAGTGTAGAGGCAGGCAGTTCAGTGCAGGCTTCTCTCTGAAGTGCAGTTTGTGTGAAACATCCCTGTGTAGAAATAGCCACTAGGCTCTTTTGTTTTCATTATTAGATTTTTCTTTTATTTAAAAATTTTAATGTTGACATAATGACAGGTATTCCCCCTTTCCCTGCCCTTTGCCCACCTCCACCCACCTCTGTCTACCCCTCCCTTGCCCTTTACTATGCTATTGTCTGTGTCCATAGGTTATGCATATATGTTCTTTAGCTAATCCCTTCACCTTCTTTATCCAGTCATCCCCACACCCTACCCCTTACACACCAGCCAGTCTATTCCATGTATCCATGCATCTGGTTCCATTTTGTTCATCAGATTCTACATATTAGTAAGATTATATGGTGTTTGTCTTTCTCAGACTGGCTTATTTTGCTTAACCTAGTACTCTCCAGGTCCATCCATGCTGTCACAAAGGGTAAAAGTTCCTTTATGCAACCATAGTATTCCATTGTGTATATGTACTACAGGTTTTTTATCCACTCATCTGCTGATAGGCACTTGGGCTGTTTCCAGATCTTAGCTATTGTAAATAATGCTGCTGTAAACATAGGGATGCATACATTCTTTCTTATTGGTGTTTTGGGATTCTTAGGATATATTCCCAGAAGTGGAATCACTGAGTCAAATGGCAGTTCCATTTTTAATTTTTTGAGGAAACTCCATACTGTTTCCAACAGTGGCTGCACCAGTCTGCATAACCGGCAACAGTGCACAAGTGTTCCCTTTCCTCCACATTTTCACCAGCACTTGTTGATGGTTGATTTATTGATAGTAGCCATTCTGACAGGTGTGAGGTGATACTTCATTGTAATTTTTATTTGCATCTCTCTGATTATTAGTGACCTTGAGCATAGACACTTCTCCAAAGATGACATACATCTGTATTTTCTCCCATACAGTGGGTTCTGTTTTTGTTTTGTTGATGGTTTCTTTTGCTATGCAGAGGCTTTTTAGCTTGATGAGTCCCATTTGTTATCTTTTCCTGAGTTTCCCTTGCCCACAGAGACATACTGGCAAAAATGTTACTGTGAGAGATATCTAAGATTTTACTGTCTGTATTTTCTTCTAGGATTTTTATGGTTTCACAACTTACATTTAAATCTTTTATCCATTTTGAGTTCATTTTTGTGTATAGTGTAAATTGGTGGTCTAGTTTCATTTTTTTGCATGTATCTGTCCAATTTTCCCAACACTATTTATTGAAGAGACTGTCTTTATTCCATTGTGTGCTCTTGACACCTTTGTCAAATATTAACTGACCACAGAGATGTGGGCTGTTAGCCACCAGGAGCCCCTGTTAGTCGGTATCTTCTTTCTGAGGGTCCACAAAATTTATTAGGACTAGGAGAATATTCATGTACACTTGCAAAGAATGTATGTACTGTTGTTATTGGGTGTTTCAGTGTTCTGTGGATGTCTAGTTTGTTTATAATATTTTATTCAAGGTATCTCTTTCCTTGTTGATCCTCTGCCTTGTTGTTCTGTCCATTTCTGAAAATGGGATATTCAAATCTTTACCTATTATTGTTGCATTGTCTTTGTCATTTCAATTCTATAAATTTTTGCTTCCTGTATTTTGAGGTGTTTTTGTTAGGTGAAAATATGTTTGAACTTGTCTTACTGATACATTAACCAGTTTATCTTCAGAAAGTCTCTCTCTTTGTTTCTAGTAAAAGTGTTTGTCTATTTTGTCTGATATTAGAATTGCCACTCTAGCTCTCTTGTGTGTACTGTTTACATAGTACAGTTTTCCATCCTTTTACATTAAACCTATTTGTGTCCTTGAATTTAAAGTGTGTCTGTCTTCTGTAGATAGCACTTATTTGTATCATTTTGACAAAAATCCTTTCTTCCATTCTCTCTCTTTGATTGTAGTTTTCAGTCTGTTTACTTTTAATAACTGATAAGGTAGAATTTATATCTGCCATTTTGTTATTTGTTTTTGTATGTCTTATGTCTTTTTTGTTTCTTCCTCCTTTACTGCTTTCTTTTTGTGTTAGATATTTTCTAATACCCCATTTGATTAACCCTTCTTTTTTCTTTCACAATATTTTTTTAGTTGCCTTAGTTGTTTCCCTGAGGATTATAATTTACATCTTGACATAAAACAATGTATTTCAGATTAATGCCAACTTAGTTTTTTTTTTTTTTTTTCCCTCACCCAAGGACATTTTTCCACTTCTTGTTCAGACAGAGTGGGCAGGAGAGACAGGAAGAGAGAGAGAGAAAGAAACATCTATGTGAAAGGGACACATCGAGTGGCTGCCTCCCACATGACCCAACCAGGGCCGGGGACAAACTGCAACCGAGGTACGTGCCCTTAGCGGGAACTAAACCCAGGCCTCTCTGGACCGCAGGCCAATGCTCTAACTGCTGAGCCAAACCGGCAAGGGCTAATGCCAACTTAGTTTTAATAGTATATAAATCTTTGCTCCAGTATAGCTCCATTCCCTTCTCCCTCCTCTATGCTATTATTGTCATACAAATTACACCTTTTATGCATTATAATTTCATCAACACAATTTTATAATTATTACTTTGTGCAGCTGTCTTTTAAATAACATAGAAAAAAGTTATAAACAAAAATATATTTATATTTTTATCTCTTTAGTTACCTTTACTGGTATTATTTCTTCATGTGGATTTGTGTTACTGTTTAGTGTCCTTTCACTTCACTTGAAGCATGCCCGTTAGTATTCATTGTAGGCCAGATCTGCTAGCGGTGAATTCTCTCAGTTCTTATCATTTTGAAGGATAGTATTGCTGCATATAGAATTCTTTGTTGACGTTTTTTCTTTTAGCATTCTGGATGTTTTACCACTGCCCTCCTTGAGCATCAGTGGTTTCTGATGAGAAATTAGCTGACAGCCTTACTGAGGATCCCTTGTACATTAGTAGTCCCTTCTCTCTTGCTGCTTTGAAGATTCTTTCTTTGTCTTTTACCAGTTGATTATGATATATCTAGGCATGAATCTCTTTGATTTTGTCCTACTTGGTGTTCACTGAGATTCCTGTATGTGAAAGTTAATGTTTATCATCAAATTAAGAAAGTTGTGGGTCATTTTTTCTTCAAATAGTATTTATGCCCCCTTCTCTCTTTCCTTTCCTTCTTGGACTCCCCATATGCATATATTGGTATTCTTGTTGACCCACAGATCTCTGAAGCTCTGTTCATTTTTTTTGCTTCTATTCCTTAGTCTGGATAATCTCAATTGATCTATCTTCCAGGTCACCAATTTTTTTTCTCCCTGCTTATCTTAGTCTGTTCAGGCTTCTAGAACAAAACATAGCAGACTGGATGGCTTGTAAAACAACAGAAATTTTCTTGAAGGTTAAAAAAAACCTTAAAATGGTTTTATGCTCATTTGAACAGCTGTTTTGTACAAGAAATGACTTGAAAATGTCCTTTTGGATATTGTCCAAGTGTTGGAGTCCATTATGCATGCTTTGTTCTTTCATTAACCCTGGAAAAATATACAATGATTTTTCAACAAGTGATTTATTCTCCCTTTCCCATGTTTAGAAAACCATATGATACCTCAGACAGTTACTTCTGGAACAAACTTTCCTCTTCTCCCCCAGCCATCCCCTATGAGTTTACCTTTACAGGTTCTGAGACTAGGGCTGGAGGCAAGACATGTGATTGTCTCCTCAACAGGAAGAAATTTATTTCTCACAATTCTGGAAACTAGACATTCAAAATCAGGGTGCCAGCATAATGGGCAGATGAGGGCTGTCTTCTAGTTCACAGACTTCTCATCATATCTTCACATGGTGGAAGCCTCTTTTGTTTTGTTTTTTTTTTTTTGGTAAGACACTAATCTCATTCATGAGAGCCTTACCCTCATGACTTAAGCACGTCCCAAAGGTACCACCTCTTAATACCATTACAGTGGGCAATAATAGGATTTCACCATATCAATTTTGGGAGACATAAACATTCAGCCCATAGTACTGTTCAAATTTCTTATTTCCTTTCACTGAAACTTTATAGTGAATTTTTCATTTTAGTTATTCTGTTTTTCAACTCCAGAATTTCTATTTAATGAGAATCATTTTCATAATTTCTTTTAATTCTTTAGACCTGGTTTTCTTTAGGGGTTTGAACATATTATTAATGGGTAATTTAAATGTCTCTATCTGGTAAGTACAAATTCTTGCCTTCCTCAGGTACAGTTTCCATTGACTGTTTGTGTTTTTTTGCTTTTTTTACTATTTATTATTCATATTTTTCTGTTTCTTTGTGTGTCTGTGATTTTTTTGTTGAAAATACAATATTTAGCCCAGCTGATGTGGCTCAGTGATTGAGTGTCAACCCATGCACCAAGAGGTCGCCGGTTTGATTCCTGGTCAGGGCACATGCCCAGGTTGAGGGCCCAGTTCCCAGTTAGGGGCATGCAGGAGGTAGCCAGTCGATGTTCTCTCTCATCAACGTTTCTATCTCTCTCTCCCTCTCACTCCTTCTCTCTCTAAAATAAATAAAGGAAAAAAATTTTAAACACAGTATTTAAAATAATACAGTGTAGCAGGGTGTCAGTGGGGGGAAAATGAGAAACATCTATAACAAAAACAAATTAATAAATAAAAAATTTTTTTAAATAAAAATAAATAAATTAATTAATTAAATTAAATAATACAGTGTAGCAACTCCGGAAACCAGATTCTCCCCTCCCCTGGGTTTGTTGTTGCTGCTGCTATTTTATTTATTTAGTGACTTTGCTGGACTAATTCAGTAAAGTTTGTATTCTTTGTCATGTATGGTGAAAACTCTGGTTAACATAGTGATTAGTTAATGAATGGACATAGATTTCCTTTCATCTTAAACCAGTAAGTCTTCCAGCATTTGCCCAAGGCTTTTGTTTGTGTTTGACATACATACCTTCTACTCTTAGCCAGGCAGTTTACAACTTTGCCTTACCCTTTACTTCTTGCTTGCAGAGAACCTCAGGGTAAGCCATAGATGAGAGATGAGGGTCTTCTTGGATTTTCCTGGGGCTCAGCTCTTGATGGGAAAAGAGAATAAGCCCAGTAAATCTATTATAATTTATGTGTGAAGTGATTAGAAATTCAGTTTATAAACTGTCATTATCTCCCACATTAGTCGTTTTATATTATTAGCAGAATTATATAATACATGCTTCACAAATTTTGAAGACCAAATAAAAGGTTTAAATGTTTTGACAGGCATACATATCTATGTGGCAGAAAACACCCCTGAAGAATCTGTTTCTTCTAATATAGAGATCTTAGCTAAATAGTATGTAACTTGAGGCCTTTGCCTGGTTAGTCAGTTAATAAGGGCTCTTAATTAACTAGATCATAGAATATAGTGATTACAAGCTTGATTTCTGGAGCCAAACTGCCTGGATTTGAATCTAGACTTTGCCTCCTTTGTGAGCTTAGGCAAAGCACCTAACCTCTCCATACCTCACTTTCCTTATCTGTAGATAGCACCTTCCCTGTTGTGAGGATTCAGTCATTACATAAAAATCCTTAGAGCAGCCCTGGCTGGTTTGGCTCAGCAGTTAGAGCGTCGGCCTGCCGACCAGAGAGTTCCAGGTTCAGTACCGCTAAGGGCACATACCTTAGCGGTTGCAGTTTGTCCCTGCCCGGGTTGGGGTCATGTAGGTGGCAGCCACTCAATGTCTCTCTCTCACATCTATGTTTCTCTCTTCTCTCCTTCTCTCCCTCCTGCCCTATCTGAAGATAAATGCAAAGGTGTCCTCGGGTGAGGATAAAAAAAAAATTTTTTTTTTAAAGTCCTTAGAGCAGTACCTGACAAATAATATGCACTCTACTTATTCAAAAGTAGAGAGATAGTTTGATTTATCTTGTTGAACCTATTACCCATCTTCAACAATGATCAACCCATGGGCAATCATATTTTTTCTGTAACCCTACCCTCCCTCACTAATTATTTTGATGCAAATATAAGACATCATATAATCTTATTTATAAATATTTCATTATATAATCTATAACAGATTATTTTTAATGTTAAGTATACAGTTGATTCTTTAACAATGTAGGGGTTAGGGGCACCAATCCCTGTGCTGCCAAAAATCTGCATATAACTTTTGACTCCCCCAAAATATAACTACTAATTGCCTACTATTGACCAGAAGTCTTACTGATAACAGTCAATTAGCAAACTTTATATGTTAAACATATTATACACTGTATTCTTACAGTAAAGTAAGCTAGACTAAAGAAGTATTATTAAGAAAATTATAATGAAGAGAAAATACATCTACATTACTATATGTATATGTTGAAAAAAAAAACCCGTGTATAAGTAGACCTGTGCAGTTCAAACTCATGTTCAAGTGTCAACAGCTAAAAAACTAACAGCCTTAATATTATCAAATATTGAGTTGGTATTTGTTTCCCTAATTGATTATTATGTTATAATTAGCTAATATTGTCTCTTAGGTCACTTTTAATTTAGAGATTTTCTCCTCCCTCTTTTTCCTCCCATTATAGTCATTTATTGAAGGAACCATTGCTTATATTTTACAGCTGTGTTGTCCAGTACAGTAGACACTACCCACATGTACATGTGGCTATTGAGCACCTGAAATGTGATGGTCCATTTACGGATGTGCTGTAATTTAAAATACTCATTATGAAAAATAAAAAATAAATAAAAATACTCATTATGTTTCAATGACAATATTAAAAATGAAGTACCTCAGTTTTACAGCAGCCACTTATGATCCTTTAATTCATTAAACATTGCAAAATGGTGATGTTCTTATTCTTTTGTTCCTCTTTGTGTACTAACGAGAGTTAGTACACAAAGAGAAACCTCCCTATATAAACTATTTGATTACTATGCAAACTATATATACTTTGCATAGAAAAAGGACAAAAGGTTAATTCTTTCTCATTAATTACCAGTTTCCAACATCCCCCAAAGATGATCAATGAGTATTTTTATCATTTTATTATGAAATGATGAATTAAAATATATATTTTTAAAATCCATTGCAGCTGTTGTTCTTATTAATGCTCAGATTGTCCCATCATTGGCCATTGACAACATCTTCAAATTGTCTCCTGTCCTAGACATGATCCTAGCAATCTTTTATAGCTTCCTTGCTTTTTAGTATGACAAAAATTCCAGGCCCTGATTCCTTTTAGTGGGAAGCAATATTTAGAGGCCCGTCTGGATTGCATAATGCTACCTTATTGGTTATTGTTTCTAGGCCTTTTAGGACAAAGCTAGGAAATGTGTTTTTATTTTTCTTAAAATACCTCTACCCTGGCTGGTTTGGTTCAGTGGTTAGAGCATCAACCTGCAGACCGAAGGGTCACAAGTTCAATTCCAGGTCAAGGGCATATATCTGGGTTACAGGTTCAATCCCCGGCCCCTATTGGGGCTGTGTGGGAGACAACCAGTTGATGTGTCTCTCTCACATCGATGTTTCTCTCCTTCTCTCTCTGTCCCCCGCCCTCCCTCCCTTCTACTCTATCTGAAAATCAATGGAAAAAAATTATCCTCTGGTGAGAGGAGTCCTGTCAAGATGGCAGAGTAGGTAAATGCGGTATTGCCTCCTCCCACAATCACATCAAAATTACAACAAAACTACAGAACAACCATCCTTCAGAACCACCTGAAATCAAGCTGAATGGAAGTCCTACCACTACAAAATTAAAGCAGCAGCCCCATCGAGACTCGTAGGAGGGGTGGAGGCGTGTATGGGCTGGTCCCACACCCACGTGTGGCAGATAAAAATCAGGAGAGACCTCTGTTAGGACGGTCCTCCCCGAGGAGTGAGGGTCCCCATCCCACACCAGGAACCCAGTTCAGGGTCCCAGTGCCAGGAAGAAAAGTCCCCATAACTTTTGGTTGGAAAAACCAGCGGGAACTGAGGCAGAGGGAGGCTGCAGCTGCAGAAGCCCCAGCAGTTCCTCTTAAAGGGCCCGCGCACAGACTTACTCAGACCCGCTCCCTCTGAGCTCCGAGGGGAGGCAGCTTGAGAGGCACCAGAGAACAGGGAAGAACTGAGCTATTTGGCCTCCAGACGAAGGCTGGAGGGGCAGCTTTCCCCTGGACAGATGTGCTGGTGGAGGCTGTTGTTCCGATGGTGAGCCCTTCCCCAACAGGGCAGGCAGAATGCCACCATATCTGGGACAACAACAACAACCTGGCTCACACTGTTGACCATGCCCTGGTGATCCCCTGAGACCCCGCCCCACCCAACTTTCAGGCCCACCCAAGCTATTTCCAAAGGCTTTACCATAGGATTGGCCTGTCTTGGATCCTCCTTCAGAGTTTCCTAAAATCTCTCAATCAAGCAGCATCTGGTACCTGAGCCCACCAGTGCACTTGGCACCATTTAGCCAGTGGACACCCTGTATCAACACAGATCAGTGCACAGTAGTGGAGCTGTCAAGGTGCCACTTGCGTAAACCGCAAATGTCCGGGAGCCCAGCACCATCCCCCACAGTAGCAGCCTGATCAGAGTCGAGATATACCCCCAGCAACAGAGGCTGGGGAGCAGACATCCATCCCCAGGCAACAGAAGCACAGACCAGCAGCAGAGAACCATTCCCAAAATCTACAGCAAAGGCTGAGCAGGCGCTGAGCCCCACTGGGCAGCCAGCACTCCCCAGCCACCAGTAGTGGGACCTGCGGCTCCATAGGGGTCCTGTGT